AAAAAGTATTTGTTTCTGTTAAAAAAAAAAAGTATTTGTTTCTGTTAGCTTGATGCTATTATTTTTATTTAAAATGTCTTGACAGTGACGTAATTAGAAAACACCTGAACGTCCCGCCGGTTCCCGTTTTTCCGAGCTGCCTTTAAACGTTACACGCTCCTGCCTCCCGCCGCCATTATTTTAATTTTACCTCTTCAGGTACCGCGGGTCTCCCGTCGGGAAACTCTCCATGTCTGACATGAAGCTCGAAGCGCCTCCAGGTAGTTTCCCTCTGATTATTAACGTCTGGTGAAGATGAGGAGGAAGATGTTTGCTGACTCGAGGAGACTCGGCGGCCGGATGTTGTCCCCGGTGGTTGCCGGGGCGGCCGGCGGCTGCAGCGCCGAACATCTCGAGCGGTGCTGCCCCCTGGAGGATGGGCGGTGACGTCACACCCTCTACCGACTAAAACTGCTTATTTAACTTAAACATGGTATATTTTACCAGTAAATGTTCAATATTATTTAATTAAACGGTGAATTAAATACAACTCAGAAGGTCACAGACAAAAAGGATCAAAATCAATGCAAGTAGTCAACTTTATTTAAAACATCAGCTGTCACCAAAATGCTTAACAATAAAAATCACCGGGAGTAATTTAATGAAAAAAATTAAATAAAATAGAAGTAATGATAGTACAATCAATTAAAAGCATGAAAATAAAATAAAAATAAAAACGCATAATAATAAAATACTAAATTAAATCACACTGTGTTAAAAGCCAGAGACGACAGGTGAGTTTTGAGCAGACATTTAAAAACAGGAAGGGAAGTGGAGTGACTGATGTTGAGGGACAGATTGTCCCAAAGTTCAGGGCCCACGACACGAATGAAAGATTCCAGTCGCCTCTGAACTTCAACTTGGTTTTTGGAACAGCCAAAAGCAGCTGATCAGATGGTCTCAGGGCCCGAGAAGGAATATGTAGTAGCTTTGGTATAACAAATAAAATAAGCTACAATTTTATTTATTAAAGTTGCGTCAATTTATTTCCATTATTTCATCAAATCAAAATATTTTGAACTAAAACTAGTGGTGGAAAACAAAATCCCCTCTGAACGCGTCGCTGTCCACCACATCAATCAGACCTTGAGCATCTTGAGCATCGTAAAGATGACCTCTTCGCTGTCTCGCTTCAAGAAGGCTGATTGTAATACAGAGGAAAGATCATTTAATACCAGTCACGACAGTAGGAAGTCTATATGAATATAAGATATAGAGCACGGTGCTCGCATCTATTCCCTGGACACTTTAGAGGAAAGTTGTTTTGGTCTGCATCACGAGCTGCTCGCCGTGTGAGTGACTCCAAACTGGGAACAAACGGAGCAGCGTTTGTGGGATTTATCCGTGAATGTCAGCTGTGCTGTGTAGATGCATCCCTCTTTGCTGCGGCGACTTTAAAGAGTCTCTGTCGTGTTTTGGAGACATAAATTAGAGGCAATGGGTAAAACTTCACTTAAGATGAGGCAGATGATCGGTTCATGTTGGTTCCCAGAGCTGATGTTCTCACCCCTAACAGCACCTTTTACTGGAACCGCAGGAAGAATTAAAGGTAAAGCTTTTACAGAACGTTCCCCAAAGGCAGATAATAATCAGACTTCAGACAGAGCGGAGCTGTTCACTGGGAGTGAAGCAGAAAGGAGCGTTCCCCCCGAGTGGCGTCTCCTGCGGCCTGCAGGCCTTCTGCAGATATGATGGATGTTCGGGCCGCAGGGCGAGGTGAGGAGGTGAAGGCCGGCGGCGGCGCCTGAACCCACAGGAAGCTCAACACAGGATCGACCATGAGCTGAAGAAAATATTCTGAATATTTGTACATTTGCTGCCTGCGCTCACTGCTTTTTATAAAACTCACCTGGAACCCCTCCAAAATAAAAGCTTTCTAAACCTGTCTCCTGTGCATCTTTTCACCTCCAACCATCTGGACCACAGATAGAAGCATTCGTTGCGACAGTGAAATCTGGTGCATTAAAAGAAACGAGCTTGCAGCAGCCGTGCAGCTCATAGCTGGGCAGCAGGTGGGAGTGAGACGGTAACACAGTACGAGAGCATCTGCTTGTCTCAGCACCCGTCCATCCCCCGTGAGACAGCTGATGTCACTCGGATAAATTTAACTCGTGCTCGGGGATGGACATGGCAGAAAAATATTTGTGTGGAAGTTCAAAAACACGCAGATGTTTCAGGAGCGTCGAGAACTGCTCACTGATCTGCAGCTGCTGGAGAGAACAGCGAATCAACGACACCGTCAACAATTTATTGTTTAAATCACTGGCAACAATTATCCTGTAAGTTACTGCAACTCATGTCACATGACGACGACACGTGACTCCGAACTGAGTCGTGAAACACAAACTATAGGAGCAGCTCTGAAGTTAAACATCAGGAATGCAAAAATAGAACCCCAAATTTTAAAATGTTTCTATAAAAATACACTTTAAACGTTGACGCCAATTGTTTATGTGTCAACAACAAACTAACAACAGAACCTTTGACAATAAACAGTTGATGACGGCAAGAATGTGACGAAGTAAAGCACGTTCTTTGTTGTCCCCTTCACACAGGAGACTCGGAGAGTCAGACACATTTATTTGTCATTCGCATCTCGTGGTGGAACGAGATTATGTTCACGGGGTCCCAGTTACATCCAACAATAAAATGTAAAATAAAAACAGTAACGAGGTCTAAGATACGAAGTAAGAAAAACATCAACTAAAAATACACTAAGCACTCATAACATAAAAACATTACGTCGACCAGCAGCACGAACATGAGTCTGTGTGAGCAGATGAGGACTAGTGAACACAGCAACATGAGGCAGATCAGCAGCAACATGAAACAGATCAGCAGCAACATGAAACAGATCAGCAGCAACATGAAACAGATCAGCAGCAACATGAAACAGATCA